TATATATATATATATATATATATATATATGTATTCCATTTTCTAGCCTTAATAAGCCTTATCGAGCTGAGTCGAGCTCGGCTCGTTAACTATTCAAGCTTTAATTGAGCTCGAGCTCGGCTCGTTAAGGCCTCGAGCTCGAGCCGAGCTCGAGCCGAGCTCGAGCCGAGCTCGAGCCTCGAGCCTCGAGGCCTTAACGAGCCGAGCCGAGCCGAGGCAGGCTCGTGTAACTTAACAGCAATAAGACTAAAGATGTTAAACGTGCTAGCCTTAGCGATTTCGAGTTAGCTTTGGCGGGCTTCGGGCTAAACTATATGAGCCTAACAAGTACATATTTAAATGAGCTACCAATAAAATCAACTCAAAAAAATCAACTCAAAATCAACTCAAAATAAATAAATTAGTACAAGTACCGACTAAATAAATGTAAAAAATAGATCCGAGTATTCAAAAAATAACGTACGATAACATTGAGAGGTCACACAATTTCTCTTCTATTTTCCGTGTTTTGAAATCGTTGCACGAGTCTCATTACTAATGTTCCGAAATATATTTTTCTCGATGTAAGACACTCAACAATCGTTTAAACGCTCATCGCCCATTCGGTTACGTGGTATACTTTTGATGATTTTTATTGCCGATTTTTTTTCCCCTGTAGCAGTGGCAACTGGTAAAATAAACAACTTAATCAACAAGTAAACCAATAGAAAAACATCATTTTTTTTTCTAGACACCATCTTTTGAGCAAAATCTCCAATAATGGCTACATTCGAGAAGTTTTCATCCAAGCGCATATAAGAAATAAAATTAGAGCAAGATTTGCAATAATGGTTTTTTTTATCGGTTTCTCAAATCTCAAGGGTTTCATTTTTTTTTTTTAAATTTTTTGTGCATACTCTTCAAGCATCCATCTGATTATTTTGGCATACTCTTCAAGCTTTCATTTTTGTTATATTATTGAATTTACTGAAATACCCCTAATCATTTTGAAAATTTCAGGGGCCCAGTGCTCCCTTGGGCCAACTACAACTCTGCCCCAGATAATAATAATAATAATAATAATAATAATAATAATAATAATAATAATAATAATAATAATAATAATAATAATAATAATAACAGAAACAACAACAATAATAATAATAAATTACAACGCCAAGTGGAACGGTTTTTTTTTCAACGACTGTTTAGTATTTACCACTCTATATATACTACACTTCATATATGAACACACATTACAAACTCTTATATAACATATTGTTTTTTAAAGAAAAAAATGTTCGAACTATTACTTATAACTACCAATTTGACTAGGTAATTTGTATGCTTCGGGAATTTTCACAATATAGTATTGTGCTAAATTTATATTCTATCACTATATTCTATGTGTTAGGTTTTTGCCTCACAACTTCACATCATCTAACTCCTACTTTTACGTCAAATCAGTTTTAATTATTATTTTAACATAAATTCAAAATCCCACTAACAAATAATCATATCAAATTTTTCAAAATTAACCATATTTGACCAAAAACACCCGTAGATATATTTGTATCGAAGCACGCTAAAGGATTAGCGATAATTTCTAAGGTTTTTGATTCTAGGGAAATTTACACGTATGGACTCTATGTAAGAAATATTTACATATATACGTGCAATAGAAATTTTATTTAAAAGGGAACTTCAATGTGATTTTTATTTCACATCTACGATATTACTCTCTCTTTCTCTCTCTCTCTCTCTCCTGCTAATCGGTTCCTCTCTCTATTTATTGAAGTTTGAAAATGCAATCAATTTCGGCGGAAACTACGCAAATAAAACGGATTTTTTTTAAAAAAAAATCAAATATGATACCTACAATTCAGGGTTACGAATTCATTTCAAACGGGATTTTCTGTTTATCGACCTCGTTCAGTTGAAAAAAAAAACTGTCCATCTAGCTGAAAAAAAACACCGATCGGGCTGGAAAAGAAAATAGTCGGGCTGGGAAAAGAAAACAATTGTTATTCGTGAAATTTTCACTGATATATATATTATATATATACATCAGATAAACATGTCCTGACATATTCAAAACATATACTATATATATATATATATATATATATATATATATATATCAGAAAAAAATTATTCGTGAAATTTTCACGACTATATATACTATATATATACATCAGACAAACATGTCCTGACAGATTCAAAACATAAACTATATATATACGAAACATATGCTATATATATACAACAAATAATGATAGCAAATCTAAAAAATACGTTTAATTATACATAAGATAATCAATATATAAACATTCCTGAAACAAGATAAACATAATACACTTTGATATTAGAAAACAAAGATTCTGAAAAAAAAAAGACGACATATTGAAATAACATTAAATTAATTTACACAAACGAGATATAATCAACCTAATTCACATACATGTCCGACTCCATCTCACTGTCATCATTTGAGATGTCTGCACCCACTTCACTTGAATGTTCTCCTTCCTCTTTATCAAGTATGAAATTCAAATCAAATTCTTGTTGATTCTTTGGAAAATCAACAATTTGTGTTTTACCCTTGTTGTCGTCGGGCACTTTTTTTTTTTTTTT